GTATTACTCAGGTCACAATAAAAGCTTTGAAAACAATGTGACGCCTTTAAGAGATACGAATAGAAGTGAACAGATATTACATGATGAAAATCTATTCAAGGCATCACACTAGTCCATTCCCACTGCCATCAAGCCAACTTTGATACAAACTAGAAAGGTAAAAGCGATCTCATTTGTCCACTAAAAACAAAGCTATTTGGATACATTGGTGCAAATGGTTTGCACATGCCTACTAACCTACAAAGGAGTCCTGGTAGCACAGTGGATTATAAATTGGGCTGCTAACCACGAGGTCAGCAGTTTGAATCTACCAGATAGTCCACATGAGATGAGACTTTCTGCTCCTGTAAAAATTTATAGCCTCAGAAACCCTAGACAGGGTCGCTATGAGTCAGAACCCACTCAGTGGCACAAAAGCACCACTACCATGACTAACTTACAGGTTGATAGTTCAAGTTCACCTAGTAGTGCTGCGGAACAAAGTCCTGGCAACCTGACTGTGCAGATACAGCCAAGAAAATCCTATGGAGCAGTTCTAGTCTGTAACACATGATGTCACCATGAGATGGAATTGATTTTACAGCAATGAGTTTGGTTTGGTCTTTCATAGACACACACACGTGGTATATAATCTCTATAATACACACACACCGTTAGATACAACTAGCTAAATACATTTGTTTACTAAGCTCTGCCACTTTTAAGATGTCTGGCCTTAGGTAAGTTAACTAACCTCTCTGTCCCTTAGTTTCTTTGCATGTAAAATGGGAACAACAGTACCTACATCTCATCGCCCTACTTCAAGGATTCAATGAGAGAATACAGATGGTAATGTTTAATACAGTGTTTGGCACAGAAACAACGTAGCTATCACAGATATCTAAGATGCTAGCCTACATGCCAAATTATTTCCAGATGCTGAAATCCAGGGAGACCCTCATCACTGAAAAAATGAAATTTTGAAGCAATTGAGTTTCATTCCTGGATAATTCGGTTAAATGCACTTAAAATGTGATGACACCCAAAAGAATGAGAGACTCCTGAAACATAAAAAGAAATGGAAGGGGAGAAACCAACGTGTCAAAAGAGTGTCCCTAGAAGACAGTCCCTGTGCCACACTCTAATATTCTCGTTAGTCTAGAAGGGAGTGACAAGATTTCCGAAGATAGTCCTGAAGTTCGGGAGTGAGGGGAGCAGTCAGCGCCTTACAGCAGGGGCAAACGAGGCCGAGGGCTGGGTGATCTGGCCGCCTGGGTGGGAGCAGAGGCCTGGACTCATCCTTTCCATGACCTACATTACATCAGGCATCTGCAGAAATCCTGGATCGTTCAAGTCCCCAAGTCCTAGCAAAACTCTAGGGCTGACTACAAAGGATACGGGCCAAGATCTCACTTAGGAATAGATCATATGTTCTCCATAGTTGTTTGCAGATCTGGTAGATCTCCTTGACAACTCAGTCATCGAGCACCCAAAAGTAAATACCAGAGAGCCACATCCCCTCTCCCACCCAAATTGTGAAAGGAAGAGCTGTTTGATAAAATCCGGCATCTGAATGAGGAGGTAGGACTGGATTTGTCTCTATACAGATTTATCTTCTGCATCTCAAGTCTTTGTAACACAGTTCAGTATGACATCATGGAAAAAGCCTCAGTGGCACATTGGTTAAGCACTTAGCTGCTAACCAAAAGGTTGGAAGTTCAAATCCAGCATCTACGTGGGAGAAAGAGCCCACGATCTGTATTTGTAGAGATCA